GTTACAATCAATACTCACAGTTAATGGCACTGTCCCCTTTCTTCTTGGTTAACAAATTCCTCTTGATCTTGTATTCTAGGATTGTTTGCCCTAGAAGAAATTCACTTCCTCATTCTCTGGATGCAAGGACACAGATTTGGAAGGATTATGAGTAGAAGCCTGTCCAAGCTGCTTTCCAGGACCTTCTTTGTTTTTGAGATCAATCAGTTCGATCTTTGCCTTCATTGTCATCATCCTCATCATCACCCCCAGCAGCAGCAGCAGCAGCAGCACCATGTCAAAATCATGATAGGAAACAAGAGGAAAAGGACCAGAAGAAGAGAGTCAGAGAAGATTCTTTACCATACTTGCTTTAGACTGACTGTAATAAACCTGATTCTGAACTGTTCAAGCATGGCTGATACTCTGAGCCTTGACCAGGTAAATATGGAGAAACATATAGGTCACTTCAGATGTTTTCAGTGGTCTTCACCGGACTGGACCAGGCCTGGCTGCAGTACCGATTCCCCAGATGCTTCTTAAAATGTGGGATCCACTCAAGGTCTATTTACTGAGTGGCTGGTGGGAGGGACTGCCATATCCCCAGGGCTGTATGTGGCCTCAGTGTCCTCCCTAGCCTGGTTCACAGCATCTGAAGCATTAGTGCTGTGCTGATTCTGACAGTGGCTGAGTGACACTGTCGTTTACCGCAGGCTGATCTGGTTAGATCTGTCCGGTGACATCCAGCCAGCCTGCCAGCCCATTGTTCTGCATCTAGTGAATCCTTAATAATTATTAATTGATGAGGATATTTTCTCGGTCTGAATGCTTAAGCCACATGCTCTCTGAATATGATGGGAGTCGCAGCATATTTTAATTAAATACTGACAACTTTAATTCCGACTGCTCATTCTAATACTCCTGAGCCGATAACATCAAGCTAATGGCTTGTTCATTTTGGAAGCTATTAGCAGCAGGGTGCTGCCTTTCACCCAAACATAGGATCATAATAATTAAAATCTGATATTGCTCAAAATGAACTCCTTTAAAATAATTTATATCCCCTCCCCAACAGACATAGGCATGTAAGTGCCAACATTCTCAAGAATTTACAGCACCTCAGAGAGCCCCTGTCCATTCCTTTCCAAAATGAAAAGTTTGCCATTGACGTGATGAAAGACTCCTTACTAGGTTCAGGGGAAATGTGTATTTCCACGGATCAATTTCTGAGTTTCCCAGAAGAGGGGAGCCACAGAGAAATCCTGAAAACTAATGACTGTGTGAGCAAAATCTATTTGTACTTTATTGCACCAATCAGAGTCTCACCACTGAATCAGAGCAGGAGACAAAGGAAAGTGTGCAGAAGAGAGAGAGAGAGAGAGAGAGAGAGAGAGAGAAAGAGAGAGAGAGAGAGAGAGAGAGAGAGAGAGAGGTGGGGGCTGAGCAAGACGGAGCATGAGCCCTGCGTGTGCCAAGGGATGAAATAATCTGGAGAGAGGGTCCAAGAAGGCAGAGATACCAAGCCACAGGCAATGCGTTATTTCCATCCTTCCACAAACTTCCAGTTGGCATCTATTGCATTCTTGGCATTGGAAACGCAGCCATGCTAACCACAGGTTCATAGTTGGGCACCATGGGGATTTAAGCCCTGACAGTTTATGCAAAATCTCACGCTCATGGGTGTATATGGGGAGAGCAGAAACAGACTAGTACCCTTTTTTCTCTTGAGGACGAGGTACACATCATAAGTCACACTTTCTAATCCTTTGTGGACTCCTGAAAGGGAAGGAAACATGATAATAAAATTTGCTTTCCTTGGTCTTTCCCTAGAAACAATAAACCAAAGTTAAACCCAAAACGAGGCAACCATGATAGATGTTTTTCTTTACTTTGATTTCTGTTATTTTTGTAAGGTTCAAGAAATATGCCTACAAAAACTGCAAAACCAGCTACATCCCAAAGGAGATAAAAGTCCACCCAAAATAGAAATTAAAGGACACAGTTAATTAACAAGCTATTAGTAACACAGTCCTGTTATCAGAGATAATTTGAACTGACAGACCTCTTGCTAATTTTTGTTAGATTTTGTATGAAGAATCCTCCAGTGGAAAAGTCACAGGCACCTTCTAACAGCTATGATTTTCTGAGTGTTTATTGTATACCAAGCATCATTTAAAACGTTTTTCCCTGTGAGGTGACATTGACGCTCACAGCTATTTTATGAGGATGGGTATTATTACCAATCCTGTTTCACAGATAAAAACACTGAGGCTCAGGAAAGATCGATAAGTTGGGTAAAAGTTCTACAGCTAGCTGTTTTCTGTAAACCTCACTCCCACCCCTTAGGAAACACCATAAACAGCTACATCATAAATGTGAGGCTGGAGTTGGGAAATAAAAGCAGCTTCATAAACTCAAGTCGATAGAGCAGCTTTCTTTCACAGGGGACCATGAATTAATTTGAATTGTGTTTAAGAGTTTTTTCATGGAACAAATCAAGGTCCATATTTTGTGGAGAATTCATCATTATGGTTCCCAAACTAGTGGATTTGAATTGCGAGGGTACAGTGAATAGGGTTAAGAGGAAACGCGGAATTACTAAGAAGGTGGGATCCTGGCCAGCAAAGCCTGGTAGAATTGAAGATTTTTCTTGCACTTGCACTGTGTTTATATTTACCTGATTCCTTAAAGCAGTAAGTCACTAAAACAGTGATAGTATTTCAAACTTGCTGCAAAAATAGTACAAAGCGGTCCTGTGTACCTTTCACCCAGATCCCATGACTGTTAAATTTTACTGTTTTGCTCTTTTATCTCTCTCTAAATAAACATATCCATATTTTTTTCTTCTCATGCTCTTTTATCACTTGAGCTATTCCCCCAGAACCAGGAAGCCTTCTTCTATAACCACAAGTAAAATGTAAGATTATCACTGACAAAATATTCTTACTAATATGCAGACTTTCCTTGAATTTTATCAATTGCCCCAATCAAGCCAGCAGCAGGAATCCCAGATCACCCACTGTACTGGGTTGTTGTGTTTCGTTAGTCTCTTTTAATGTGGAACAGTTCCCCAGCCTTTATCTTTCATGTTAAAGCTACTGTTTTTTGAAAAAAAAAGTCAGTTATTTTGTTGAATGTCTTTCAACTGGTGCTTGACATTCGTCCTAATTAAAGTCGGGTTTTGTATTTGCAGCAGGAACGTCACAGAAGGCCCACTGTGCCCTTCCCAGTGCACTGTATCAGGAAGTATACAATGTGTCTGAACATCAGCAACGTGCCCCTTGACCTCGTGGGTAAGCTGGTGCCTGCCAGCTTCTCCAGAGTGAAGCTGCTATCTTACTCTTCTTCTTCTTCTTCTTCTTCTTCTTCTTCTTCTTCTTCTTCTTCTTCTTCTTCTTCTTCTTTTTCTTTTTTGAGACAATGTCAGACTGTGCAGTTCAGGCTGGTCTGGAGCTCACTTTGTAGCCCAGGCTGGTCTTGAATTTGCAATGATCCTCAGGCCTCTGTCTCCTGAGTGCTGGGATTACAGGAATGTACCACCACACCCTCCTTTTTAACATTATTAAATTTAAAACAAGTGATAAAATACACATAAATTTACTGCACTAAGTGTCTGGTTCTGCAGCATTAAGTATACTCACATTGCTGTGCCAACCATCACTAGTCAACCAAAGAACTTTTCCAAGTCTGTGCCTATTAATGCCTTTGCAATCTGCTTGAAATCTTCCTCCCTAAGCCTCCCCTACAGCCAGTTCTTGCTACTGCCCTGAGAATACCTATGAGGGCCTCTTTTCCTGATTGGCACAAAGGTACACTGAAGGTCCTCATCATGACATTTCTTCTGCCCCTATGTTCTCTGCTCCAAGCATGTTCAGCTCTTCTAAGGACAGAATGAGAGAATCTGGGAGAGCCTCTCCAGTAGCAAACATAAAAAAATTCACAAACCTGTCCATAGTGGACAAAATAGAGAAACAATTTAGGGAATATCTTGACTTCCACAAAGCCAGATTTGGCCAATATACTTTATTGGTTTTGTTTAAATCTCAGTTTTTTTCACAAACCTCTCTGCTATGTTTTCTTCAAAGGTGTGAACTTCACACTGAAAACCAAGCTGGCAACCACCACCCCACATTTGTCTGTATGATTTTAATTACTCTAAGTACTCCATATAAATGGAACTCTATGGAACTTGTCCTTCTGTGACTGTCTTATTTCACTTGGCATAATATCTTGAGATTTTATCCATGCAATTTTTATCACTGATAAAATACTGTAAAGGAATCTCCAGGCCTTACTCAGATTTCATGTGAGGAGCTGATGTCAGAATGCTCTTTCTTCTTAAGCCAGATCACACCTGATTGCAGGGATAGACCGATTTTACCCAGCTGTTCACTACACTTGGGTCCCTTCCAGCTTTGACCATTGTGCATCATGCTGCTATGATCAAGCGTGTACAGATATCTCTCGTAGGTCCTGCTTCCAGTTCACCTACGTGTAGGCCCAGCAGTGAAACTGTTGAATTATTTTCCTCCTTGTTGATGAATAAGTATTTTGGGATAAGTATTGGGAATAAGTATTTTGGGAGAGGGCACTTTGAGACTATGCAAGTATCCTGCAATTCTTGTCTCCTTTCATGCTTTACATTCTGTTGATTTCTACCTGAGTCAGTTATTCTAATAGTTGCCAAATGGCATTTTTCTAATTCTATCATTCTTTCCATATCTACTGGTTGTTGTTTTATTGTAGGGAAGAGATTTCCCTCTCTCCCCGGCTTACTTAAGAACATACATTCATTTCATTCAGTAGGTTAGAAGCCTCCCCTCCAGGGTGGGAAGTCATTAAGCAAATCATTATGTAATCGGGAGTGCAGCCTGATTTCCCCAAATTGAGATCCCTTTCCTCACCCACACATGCCTTTTACTAAAGTGGAAACCCTGTTCCCCATGAGCAGCCCGCGTACTACATTTCCCAGAGGCCCCCGGGACTGACGTCATCAACCAGAGCGGCGCGTTGCTCGCAGGGTCGGCTCGGGAGCGCCCGCAGTTGTGGCGGCAACATGGCGGACGTGCTGAGCGTCGGGGTGAACTTGGAGGCCTTCGCCCAGGCTATTAGTGCCATTCAGGCACTGCGCTCCAGCGTGAGCAGGGTGTTCGACTGCTTGAAGGATGGCATGCGGAACAAGGAGACGCTGGAGGGCCGGGAGAAGGCCTTCATTGCGAATTTCCAGGACAACTTGCATTCGGTCAACCGGGACCTCAAGTAGGTACCGGCTGAGGGGCTGGGATCGAGGACCCGCCCTGCTCCCACGGTGCTGCGACCCCGCGCGAGGCTTCCTGGCCAGAGTGTCCCCCTCCGTTCCGTTGCCGTCCTCTCCCGGTTTCTGCTACCCCTCGGGGACACCTCAACTCCCAGCCCGCCTTTCCCGTCTCGGTCCCCTCAGCCTCCTAGTCCCGGCTGTCTTTCCCTAGTCTAATCCCTACTGGCGACGTCCCCCTCCCGAATAGGACGCGTGCTCTTGCCGGGAACTTCCACTTCGCGGAGCCCAGCAGGTTTCTCACCTGTGGGCCCTCTGGGCCCCGTCGTGTGTGGTCGGACCGTACTGATAGCCCGGACTGCACCCGACCAGCCCTGGTGCAGACCAGGGCCCTGGGTCTGGCGTTCTCCCTTCTTTCCCCCGCTGAAGCCGCTTGCTCAGTACTGTCACTTCACTTTCAGTGCTTTCCTTCAGGTCTCCTCGGTAGAGACCTACTCTCCAATCTGTTAATCAGAAGAGTCTGTTAACCAAAATAATGACTTAGCCTTTAATCTCCTTTCCCAGTTCTTAGTTTGTGACCCATGAAGGGTCTGGATTGTGCATTCCCTTCTATCTTACAAATCACTGTCTTCACTTCTATTTCACTATGTAAAAGCCTAGCACATGATGGATATTTCTTGGTTACTTAAGTCCTGCATTTGTGTTCCTTTCCTTAGGAGAGCTGGTCCTACCCAGGAAGGTTAGAATTTCAGGAATTTTGCTTTTATTTCTCAGAACTGAGCTTAGTAGGGCAGGGTATTCGGTGAGCTCCTCATGCCATGATTTTAGTGCTGGGGTTGGCCCTGCCAGGCTAATGCTGTACCACTGAGCTACACCCTTAGCCCAGTTATTTTTGCAACTTGGTCTCCTTGGTCACCAGGTGGAACGAAGAGGTAGGAAGGGAGAGGTGGTGGTGGCCAAAGGATCCCTCCCCAGTTCCCACATCCACCAGCCGTCTGTGGGTGCAGTACCAAGCACCAGTTAGTACTTTCCCTACTTGAGCTGCAGTGGTTGTTCCTTCATTTGCATGTCCATTTTCTCTGTGATTTGCTTCTGTTTCTGTGTCTCTGTCTTTCTTTTTTCTTACGGTACTAGCAATCAAACTCAGAACCTCGTGCTTGCCAGGCAGGTGCTGTGCCACTGTGCTATATCTGTGGTCTGCTACTCTTTTTGAGTTCTGAATGTTCAGAATGTCAAAACCCTTCACCATTTTATAAATAATGGCCCTCCCCACTTTGCCTTCTTCAGTGTCTGTACAGTAGCAACAAGAAGATGGCTGAAGATTCCAGAAAGAATAGCAAGTGCTGCTGTTCAGAAAGAGTCTTTCGTTAGCACTTGGGCACCAGCCCCTCAGAATGTGCCTCAGGGATGTGCTTTTGCTGTTGGCTCGCTTTCATAAGATTCTCTAGAGTTTCACTGCTAGACTGAAGTGTTTGTTTGACACAACCCCCTCTGTGGTGTCTTCCCATTCCATTTGTTTGTTTTATCTCGTCTTTGTTTTGCTAAGTTTTACCATCTGTGAAGCGTCATGTACAAAGCCTACCCCTCTGTGGATGATAAGTAGTAATCATTTATTCAGGTACTTGCTGTTCTGCCAAATGCAGTGATCCGCACGTGGGTCTGAAAGCCCTTCGTTAGAGGAAGTGTTGTGCCACACTGTGGGATCTCAGAAAGTCTCCTCCCCTGCAGAGAACAATTCAAGTTGCTAAATCCTGATTTTAGGAGTTTTAGTGATTCTTGTACCCTTAACTTTCCCTCCGCCTCCTTTGGAACAGCACCAGGGAGTTCTGCTTTAAATTGAAGTTAAACTCCGAGTTAGGATTTTTCTCGGTTGTTCCTGGTCTTTTTTTTTTAAACCATTCTCAAGATACTTTCTTCTTTGGTACTTCTGATGGGTGCTTTGAAGAGCTGGAGTTTTAAGCGGACTCAGGTTTCTTTGCTGTGTTTTTCAGTGAGCTGGAGCGTCTGAGCAACCTGGTAGGCAAGCCGTCTGAGAACCACCCTCTCCACAACAGCGGGCTGCTGAGCCTGGATCCCGTGCAAGACAAAACCCCTCTCTATAGTCAGCTCCTGCAGGCATATAAATGGTCCAACAAGGTAAGGGAGCTTCAGAGATGGAGCGAATAGAGCGAAAGCACATTTGCTGATCTCCCATACATGTAGCAAGTGAGGGGCAGTTTTTATTTCTTTCAAAATTCATTCATTTATTTACTCATTCTTTCTTTCTTCCTTTGCAATACTGGGAATCAAATGCAGAGCCCATGCGTGCTCGCCCAGCACTGTGCTGTTGAGCTACATCCTCAGCCCCTTTCTTCATTTATTTTTGATTCAGCATGGAGTTGGAGTTTTTAGAATGTCCCTGTGGGCTATTTTGTGGGCCTTTGAAGTCTTTGAGGAACAATACTAATACTCAGGTAACTACATTTTTTTTTTTTTTTTCTGGTCTTTTTCCTTTTTATCGGTACCAGGGATCGAACTCACGACTGCTTGCTTGCAAGGCAGGCGCTTATGCCGCTGAGCTAAATCCCCAGCCCCTTTTTTTGGGGAGGTGGGGGGGGGTAACTACATTTTTAAAAGAATTTTAAGTCACGTGTATCTAGTCTGGAGATAGGGCAGCTTTTAGGAACCTCTTGGTATTAGAGGTTGGCATGTGGTGGTATGCATGGTGCGTCTTTGTCTGGGAAAGGTGTCCTAGCTTTCCTGAGGTTTGCAGAGGTGTTTCTGACTCCTAGAAGGTTAAGGACTGGTGATCTAAATGTTCAGTCATTCATGTTGTTTTCTTCGTTAGATCTTTCTCCTGTAGTGGGAGACCATCACTAGACGGCTGTCATTATCTTAGACTGCGTCTAAGGGAGGGTGTTTCTAATGTGCTCCCTAGAATTGGATATCATGGTTTCCTTCCACTGGCAGCTCTTAGATCTTAGGACAACTGTGCCTTAGATCTTAGGACAACTGTAAAAACCGAACGGAACTAGTCTAAAAGCAGGAACAGTCAGGCTTGTTAAGCCTAGAAACAGTTTATTTTCTGATGAGTTCCTGTTGTTTATTAAATGTGTGCTGCTGTTCTATGTATGTTTCCCTGTTTATGGGCACCAGAAGGTACTTGGGAGCAATTCTGAAAACCTTCTTCACTGTGCTCTTCGCTCCTGGAGGTAGCTGTCCTTACAGTTGTTGACTCTGCACTGCTCTGCCTCTTAGTTATTCATCACCCTTTTCCTCCCGTCTCTGAGCCTTTTCCCCATAGGTCCTGCATGACAGATGAGGCTGTACAGTTTTTCTGGTGTGCAGAGATTTCCATCTGAGTTTCTCTTTGGGGTATTTTAGTGTTTGGTTTGAGGTAGAACTCTGGAAACTAAGCTGGGCGTGGTGGTACAGACCTGCAGTCCCAGCACTGGTGAAGCTCAAGTCACTGTGAGTTCAAGGCCAGCCTGGGATACAAAATGAGCTCAAGGCCAGCCTGACCTGCATAGTAAGACCCTGTTTCAAAAGAAAAAAAAAAAAACCTCTCTGTTAACTATTCTGGTTTAGAAAGAGGGTGATTTGTCCTGAGATACTGAAGTAATAACTTGAACCTTAAATGGGTAGATTTAGCTATAAGCCTTTTCCTGCCAGACTTCCGGCTGCCTGTGACAGAAACTCAGTTTGGTTCAGTAGGTTAAGTCTAGGAGTTGGTCGGAGGAGAGCTCACCGGGCCAAAGGACTAAGCTGTTCAGGGAGTTGTAGTGTGCGGCTGAGCTCTGAGGATCAGGGTACACAGGTGATGTGGCAGCAATCGTCTTCTCTCTCCAGGCGTGCTTTCTGTTGCCCCCATATTTTCTCAGTGCTGGAAAAGATCCCTCAACTGTTGTCACAGCTGCCTGGAGCTCTCCTGGTGTATGTGGCAGTCCCTGAGAAATGGCTGTGGCCCCGCTCGGTAGGTATCCTCAGAGATGGCTCCTTGAATCCCTGTGTGGAAATACTCAGCTCTGCTCCCTGAAGCACAAGCAGCGGTGCGCCTTGGACGGGAGGCAGTTCCCCACAGGAGGCCGGGCGAGGCCGTATTTCATTATGCCTGCTGCCTGCATATGCTGACTGTCTGCATGAAGGAAGGAGGATGATTTGGCTCATAGCTTTGGAGATTCGAGGGCTAGTTGCCAGCTTTGGTGAGGCCCTTGTGGGTGGGTGGCATTGCAGCGATGGGGATGGGTGTGGAAGGAGGAGGTCCCATCAGGCCGGAAGCCAGAGAGGTAGGGTCCTGCAATCCTGAGTGTCCCCTGTGACTGAAGGGCCTCCTACTAGGCCCTGTCTTAAAGACTCTGCACTATCACCGCTGCTGTGAGGACCAAGTTTTCCGTGCATGGACCTTGGATGGGAGGATGTGTGGATGGGGGCGGATGCACTTTAAACATCTGAACCGAGCAGGACAGACAGAAAAGCAGGGATGCTCATGTAGTTGACAAGCCAGGCCTGGGAATGCCCCAGCCCCGCAGACAGCCCTGCCCTTTCAAACTGTCCTGGTGAGCTTCCTGGTTTTCCCAGGGGTGATCTTGGTCATCTACTTATAAGGTGACCTGGTGTGTGAATAGAATCTGGCCAGCAGTACATGCTGTGACTTATTTCTGGTTTGACTCCTATAGAAGGTCTTGCTTTTTGGTGTTTGGACAATAAAACCAATCTTTTTGTTTTTTTGGTATCGGCTTGCCAGGTACCTAGCACTTGCTAGGCAGGTGCTTATGCCATTGAGCTAAATCCCTAGTAATAAAACCATCTTGATAGGCCATGTGAGTAAAGTTCTTAAAGGCTGGAGTGACAAGGACTTCAGTGTTTCGAATAGATAAGCCAATCTCAAACCCACAGGTGACTGATCTTGCATTGAGGTGATTGCGAATGAAGGTAGTTTGCTTATTCACTGAATTTAATTATTAGATTATGAAATAGAAGTCCCTGAACTGCACCTTTATCCTCAGGTGGAAAAGAAGTTGTAGTAAGGGAAAGAAATACTGTGTATATGGAACTCATTGTTTTGGAGATGGTACAGGTAAATAGTATGTACAAAAATACATATGTGTATGTTCCATGGGATGAGGTAGTTGGCCTGTCCCTGGCCTGGCCAGACGAAGTGTCTCTAGAGTGACCATGTGGTTTCATTTCTTGGTGCCCCAGCAGGAGAGAAAAGTCAAGAGATTCAGCCTCCTGAGTGAGAGCCAAGCAGAGTGAGGCCCAGTGACCCGACCTCTACATAGCACCTTCACGGGACCTGAGTTTGGTTTTTCTGTCTTGGGTCATTGCTTTTTCCTCTAAAACTTGATCTTTCATTCAGTTTTAAGGTTTCCAACTATAGAAAACATTCTTCCCCCTTTTGGCTGCATCCTGGAAACAATTCATAGCATGTTTCATTTATACATTTTATTCGTTCCATCTGTGTGCATTTTTTAAGCATTCATAATGGTCTAACGAAGGATGTAGTTGACAGATACATGGCACATGGTCGCACACTCTTGCTCATTCATTCCAGGGCAGACATCACTAATCAGGTGAGAGACTGTGTGTTCTGAGCCTACGGACCTGGCAGCTCTGTTGAGGGGGGAGGCAGCCGCTAGTCATTTCTCAAAGGAGGCTGCAAGGGAATGTGTTTCTCATCTATTACTGTGGGTGATATCCCCTGTGACATCATTTGTGCCTTACCTGGCCTTGGGAAAGGTTTAAGGTAGCTAAAAAGAATCCCTAAAACCCAGAAAGAAAAGAGGAGAGACAGGATAAGGACGCCTTCCGTACATTTCTGTAATAAACCCAAGAAGTAGCCTCCAGAAATAAGCCATTATTCTAATTTCCAACTGGTGACATGGAAGAAGCAAAACAATTAATTATATGTGTTTATCTTGCTTTGCCTACAAATGAAAAGAGCTTTTTAATTGCCAGAGCTTTCACCATTCATCATTTTACCCTCAAAGAATTTCAACCAGCTAGCGCATTAATCTGTGTGGGGCAGTGGGGTAACATGCCAGGGTCAGCGTCCCGCACCACTGGCTGGGGATCAGGGCAAACAGGGGCCCGTTATGTGGTGAACTTGCTGTCTGTCAGCTGTTGGCCCAGAGGAGTCTCGAGCACGCCTAGTGGCTCGCTGCTTTCTTTGGGCCATTTTCGTGATCTTTGTAAAGTCAGTTGGCATATTAATTGCATGGTAGTTGGCATAATTGTTCCAATAACACATTTAAGAATTAACCTAATTTAGTGAAATGATGTCAAATTGCTGTGTGCAGCACTTTTCCCGTGCTGATCTGGGGAAAAGAATTGAGCTTTTAACTGTTGGGCACCTAGAGATGATTGTTCTGCGGAAGAGTGACCAGCTCTTGTGACTGCAAAAGATAATTGGCATCGGTGCCGCCTTGCTGTGAGATAGTTAGTATGGACTTTGTATTACCACGTTCAGATGCTGCCCGTTATAGACCCAATGTGTCTTGAAGGTGGCTTCCCAAGGTTTCCAGCATCTTGTCACCAGGCTTTTATTTTCAGCTTTGACTTTGCTCTTTTGTTAGTGGCAGAAGACTACTTACGTAAAATTGTTCCTTGGTATCCATGATAGACTAGTCTGGGTGGTCTCCTCCTCAGGATGTCAGGATCTGGAGCCCCTGGAGCCTCTTTTGTAAAACAGTGCAGTGTTTATGTATAAAGTACATACATCCTCCTGTGTCGCTTTCTTCTCTCTGTCTCTTATTTTCTGAGATGTGGTCTTGAACTCATGAGATCAAGGGACCCTCACACCTAAGCCTCTTGAATAGCTGGGGCTGCAGGTGCGCATCCCTCACACACGGTCTCCTATGGACTTGAAGTCATCACTGCTGAGCCCTAACATTGAGCGAGATGTGTGTGCTGTGTTTGGGGAGTAATGGGAAGGCAAGATGACTGCGTTTCTAGCATAGACCTAGTATTTTCAGTCAGCAGCTGGTTGAACCTGAGGACGTGTGGCCTTGAGTTTGCCTAGAGAAGCAGGCCAGTCATTGCTGCTCCCTGGGGAAGCTGAGGCACTCTCCCTGGAAGTGTCACGCACTGCCAGGCTTGGAAGATGGGCCCAGAACAGAATGGTTTTTTTGCTCTTTTTAAAAGCCCACAGTTAGGGA